ATATTCAAATAAAATTTCTATTATTAACTCACATTTATAATAATTAGTTACTTAAAAAATTCCATGTAATTAAAAATTTGAATAATCTAATTTTTATTTTTATTTTATATATATTTTATTTTATTTTAATTTAATTTAAATTCATCTATTAATAATATTTTATCTTTAAATTATATTTCATCTTTAAATGATAATTTATCCATATTTTTCATCCAAATTATCCTAACTTCATTTAACTTAATTTTCAATTCTTTACACTTTTATATCTTAATAACAATTTGATTTATTCAATAGAATCTAATCACAAGTTAGTTTTTTTTAAACCATTTATTCCAAATAAAAGGTGTACTCTCAACTTGTGGAATCAAAACTACTTTATATGAATCAATTAGTCACCAATTTGAGTTGTTGTAAATCCTTAAAATTTTATTTACTTTTGTCAAGCTCTACCATTTGCCTTGTAAGTCTTAATAGGAAAAGATGGATATTAAAAATGCATGAATTTACTACCCCTTCAGGCAACAATTAGATCAAAGATTGACTACAATAATACTACTAAATCAATTCTAGGCTACAACTCCTTTGTTATATACGGACACTGTCAATCACCAAAGTCTCATTCTCTTCTATCACAATTCAAGTGATTTTTATATACTAACCACTTTTGAACTGAGACAAATTAAGGTCAAATTTTACAACATCAAATACAATCTCTATTGAAACACAACAATACAAGAATTATAAAAATAAAATAAAATAACGGCTCTTAGCCATTGTACTTCTCTATCAACAAAGTTAGATTGCAGAGTTGGACCATCAATATCAACATGGAAACCTTGTGTGTTGATGCTAGGGGTGGATGACTTAAGTATTGCAATTGCCTTATATACTAAATTTCTTACCATATTAAAGCAACTTAGTCCCATACAAGATCTCAGTTTACCACTACTAAAGATCTAGATCCCTTGTAGTTCATATGAAAGTGGAAGAAAATAATTTTCAAATGTTACAACAAAAAATTCCACTTTAACCTATGTTAAGATGTTGCAAGCACAATTTAGAAATAGAAGTCAAATTGCAATAGCACTATACATAAGTTCAACCACTAAAACCACAATACAAAAAAATATTGCTACCCTTTAACTCAATAAGCACAAAAAATAAAAAATAAAAAAGATCAACAACCTTTATTGCCTAAATTAATAACTACTCTACCATAATTGATGATGAAGGGATCTAAAGAGAGAAACACTACCTTTTGCATCAATTAAACATTGAACACAATATTACGAAGCTTTTTTTGTAAATTATATCAGCAAGGAAGAAGAATCTTTTCAATTCAATAATACGGAGACTCTCGCAATATTCAACAAAAAGGAACAACCATTGAACTTGGTGTGGATTTTCTTTGTATTCCAAGAGAAAGTCTAATATGTCAATATTAGGTTGAAATGATTTTTTTTTTTTTTTTTTTTTTTTTTTTTTTTTTTTTCCTTCTTCTTTTGATTTCCTTTTCTTCTATTCATTTCAACTTTTTTTCTTCTATTTTATTTGTCTAAAGCTAACAAGACTTTCTTTTATTTTTTTTAATCTTTTTTTAGATTTTTAAAATTAAATATTTTAATTTAGATCTTAATTAATAAAATTTTAATAAAAATAAAACTATTATATTAAAAAATCTTATATCTATATTAGCTTAATTAAAAAAATATATTATTTTAAAATTTCTTCTCAAGAGAAATTCTTCAAGAAACCTAGTCTTGTATTGAAATCCTATTTTTTGCTATTTATCTCAAAATTCCTACTTTAATTCATTAAATTGGTGATTTTAAGCACCATAAGTATATTATTTTGTACTAAACATATAAGTGAATTAATTATGTGACTCACATATGGCAACTATTTGAGACAACTCAAAAATGTAGAAATTCCAAAATCTCTTGTTATTGGTTAAGTCTTTATCTAAAGTTAGTCAATTTGGTTATAATATCCTATCAGATTTAAGAGGAGTAGTACTAAATAATAAAAAAAAATCCTTCATAGAAAGATTGTGATTAGTATTAGTTTTATTTCTATCTTTTAATGTTATTTCTCTTGAGAAAAAAAGACTATTGAAGAAAATAGACTTCTTATTTAGCCAAGTGTAATAATCTTATAGAATAAGAATAGAGACAAAATAACCTACTTATGTAATAACATGTAGTAACATCAAAACCATCTTTAGATTTTTTATTACTTTGTAAGTTCCATCAATACATCTTAATTAGTAGAACTATTAAAAATATAGATTTTAATTATTTAAATATAAAACATTATTATTAAAGAGTATTTTTAATGATTTCATTATTTATTAGAATTTTAAAAAATACAAAAATAGAATCTTAATAAGCCTTACAAGTAATTATCTTAATTGATTTAGTATTATTATTTATTGTTGAATATTAAGAATTAGTTATTAAGACCAATGTCTATATTGGCCTTTTATATATATATTTATTAATTATTAAAAATCTTTAAATTTTATTTAGTAGTAAGAAAAAACATAAAAAATAATTTCATGTCTTTTAAATTCTTTGTATCAGAAATACAATTTTTAGTTGATTTAAATTTCTTTTATTACTATAAAAAATAAAAAGAAAGAAAATATGGCTTTAATTTTATATCATTAACATAAAAGTATTTAAAAAATATTAAAAATTTATTTAGAAAATTTTTAAAAAAAATTAGAGAAAATTTCAAGACTTTGATAAATTTGAATTTTTACCACCTTAGGAGCTATTATGAAGAAATGGAGCAAGATTTGACAGCCTTATATGGTTCTTAGGCTAATTGGATATTTTTAAATACTAAAGTAAAGTCAAAAATGCAAATAGATGAGTTTTATAAGTAGAAAATAAGATGGCTAGTAGCTAGTTTAATCCTTGTAGGAAGAGAAGTATACAAGTCTCATATGGATTATAGCACCTTGAATGTAGTTAGGTAGATAAGACTAAGGCCTCATGGCCTCTCCTAGCAACCCAAATATACTACATGTAAGCCCTAGTGAGGTTTGAACCTTTGATCTATAAGTAAGTTATTCTTTAGGTAAAATATTTTTAATTAACTTTTTATTTATTTACATGTCATCTTTAAACCTTCATAACTTATTCATAATAATTTGGATTTATATGTTTCTTACATCATTGAAAAGCTAAAAAAATATCATTCTAAATTTTTTTTTTTTTATATATTTATTTTTTATTGGGTAAAAATTAAATGAACAAATTGTGACCTAGTTGTAGATAGTGTAATTCCTTGATTTCATTTATTTCACTTTTTTATGTTTGTTCTTTTTTTGTTCTTATTATTTTGCTTCTTTTATTTTATACCACCAATTATAAGTAATTCTTGATTGAGGCCATCTTGTAAAAATATAAATTAAAGGATGGAATTTATTCTCATATACTTCTTTGTATTCTTCATTTGAAATAAAGTTTTAATTTTATTTTTTAATAATTGATATAATGGCTCCATAATATGAGCAAAATGAGGTGCTGACATATAATAAAATATACATGCATCCGAAAATCTTCTAACTTATATTATACTATTACATAATTTTATTTTAGATATAGCATTAATTTTATCCGGATTTGATTTTCTACTATATTTGTTATATATGTTCTATTACTAGACTTTCTTTAATTCTAAAGTTTTGATTTTTTTAAAGATAATGTCAAATTGATTGATCAAATCCTCTCCAATATTTTAGCCACATCTTCAATATGTCTTTTAAGAAACTTTCTACAATCATATGCATTAATGGTTTCAATAATTATTCTTTATTCTAATAGATGGTACACAATACCTAAGAAATCAAAGATATTAAGGTTTATACAAGATATATAATTGTCAAATAAAATAATCATTAGGAATATGAGATCTAAACTAATAGTAGATGAAGTAACAATAGTTAGAAAAAAACCATGTAATATATATATATATATATATATATTTATAATTTTTAACCAATAAAAAAACTATCAAAACAAGATATTGTTAGGAAAGACAAAAGAATAATTTTATTTCTAAATTTTTTAAAACTAATTTAGTTACTTTTTATTTAAAAGTTTATTTTTGAAAGGAATTGCTATGCAAAGTTTAAAAAATCTAAGTTCTTTGTTCAAGATTGTTCAACATGCATGATTATTATTATCAATTGCAAAAACATATTTGGTTTAAATGTGTCATAAAAAGAAATTATAGGACATTTCTAAAACATTTCTGTAGTATTAAATCTTTTGTCTTATAATCAATTTAAAAAAAAATCGTGATATGTGATTTATTTCTATTTATTTTTAAATATAATAATAAAATTTATTATTAATTAATTGAGTTAAGTTATTTACAACTTATTTTAGTTATTACTGTTGAGTAATTATGTTTATATTATTTTTACTAAAACTGTGTTGATGGTGTTGTAGGACACAAAAGTGGTAGACATTTAGAAATATTAGAAGGGACATTTTAGTCCTATAAGTTATGTTCACAAAATTTTTTAAATGAAAAATTATGAATATTTAAATTATTTTTTTTGTCTTTATTTTTATTAGGTTTTTCCACACATGTTAATATTTTTTTATTTCATAAAAAACATGTGACCAAAATTTTTAGATTCCAATTGTTCTAAAAGCTGTGATAGGTGCAACCAAATTTTGTTATAAATTATGAAGGAATTAGAATGAATTTTTTTCATAAGTTATATTTTAAATAATAAAATTGGCTTTAAAGAGCAGTAAAGGAAAATAAACATTATAAGGTCAATTTAGAATCAATACATCCAAAAACTGTAAAAAAATACAATAATCTACCCTTTTATCCTACAAATCCCAAGTTCTTCAATAAAATTAAAAAGAAAAGAAAAAATTGTTATGTGTTGCTTAACTGAATATATTTTTCTAATATTCTAGTGTAGATCTTGAGCATATATGAATAAAATTAATTTTCATGGTTTTTTATGTAATTTTTGTTTGTTTTGAGTGATGTTAGAATATATATATATATATATATATATATATATTGTAATTATTTATTTGGATCTGTTCTGAAAAATTCAGAACGAAAGGAAATACTAAGTGAAACACATTCTGATTAATACTCAATACAAACAAACTTATGTAAATGTTTTAATCTATTTCCTGTCTGGAGGGGCATAATGCTTGCCACGAGTGCACGGTGGGATGGTTGCAAGCTCCTCAAAACTCGATACCGACGCTTCACAGCAAACCCACTGCACAGGTCAAGACACAGATTCCCTATCAGTGGCTCACAGGGTTGCAATCATGAAACGGGATGAGAACGAACCATAACGGACCTTGTGTTCTTCTGTTGATCTGTCACTGAAACTGATTGGACCTCGGTGGTAATGACATGCCAAGGAGGTATTCTCCTCGTCCGTGAATCTCTTCCCACAGCATTGATTCTTGCATACTCGCTGAAGCGTTTCAGGGGTGTTATCTGTGTCTGTATCTAGGCTGTCTGGAGCCTCCACTGGAGAAGCTCCCCCCCCCAGTTCCTCATCTGGTAGCTGCGTCATTGCTGTCCACGGCGGACGCTCTGTGTACGCGCCCAACTTTGTGCCTTCATCCACAATCACCGCTGAGCATAATGAGAATACTACCACCAATGTCAAGTAATCAGGTCGAAGGCTTCTTCTAGTTTGATTTACTTGGTTGTTAGAGCAAAACTCCAATTTTGTATGAGGACAGACCGTGAGTTGCACAGAACCCTTGTTTGCAGCGAGGGCATGTAGCCCTAGCTTCTTCCATACGCACTTTCTGTAGACTCGTGAGAATGTCATCATCTTGAACTTCGTATCCATCAATGTCGAACGCGTTTGCAATGTGGGTTTCCATATCTGCATATCAATTTCACGCGAGTGAATCTCCTGGTTTTTTGAATGTGGTGTGAGTTCGTTCTCCATTGCAGTCTCCATGCTCTAATTACCTCAGCATTACTTGAAGGTTCTGTGGAATTCCTACACTGCTCCAGGGAGATCTTCCAGAGAATTTCGCTAAGTTATGGACAGTTTTATAGTTTGTGTAAACTTTGCTGTGATCAGCAGGGACTCAGAAAGTATGCAGGTGATGGTAACACTTTGTTTACCCTCAAATTTGCTGGAGACGAGTTCTATTATTGAATGCGATCATTACCTGTGAAGGACTCACTCTATTTAAACAATTTTTGCTTAGACATACAGAGCCGAATTTTGATTCAAGCTGCCCCCAAAACACTGTCTATGAATGATTCCAGAGCAATGTGGTCAGAGACTCTGTCCTAACTTTCCATCCAGTGTGACAAATCGACTATTACAGGAAGAACTACATCACTGAATGCACAAAAAAATTCTGCTGTCCATATGGAACACATGACCTTAGAAAGCTCATTTTGTCACAAAGAGTTCCATGACCTGTACCACAGTTGAGGCACCTCTTTAAGTTACTGGGTAGGAGGTTCGTTGAACCGTGCTTGAGGGCCGATGTGGCAGTTGGATAAAGGACTAGGAGCAAAAGAAAAGTTCAATTAGAAAACAGAAAAGTAACTTTTGTTAGATACTTGGAGGGACAAGAAACCAAAGATACTGATTCACTAATTGCTACTTGATCATGTTTGCAATTGTCGTTGCTACATTTACGAGCACACGACGAATTGCTCGTGCGCATTCCAGAGTTGCAACAAGTCCTTGCATTGTAGTTGTGGAAATTCAGTGAGTAACCGTGATGAATCCGGTTGTTGTTGTTATGCAGGGTTAAGTTTAGGAGACCCTGCGGAGGTAGTTTTTATTTTTATTTTTATTTTTTTATTTTTAAATTTTTTCTTCTGTTGCTGTGGAGGTTTGAGTTTCTGGGTTTCGGTGTTATTTGCTGGAATGGCGAGCGAGGGTGAAGTGATTGAAGTTGTGGGAGAGAAGAGGGCGAGAGGAGATGGAGAAGATGGTGAGGCTGTGGTGAAGGCTGAGAGTAATGGAAACGGTTTCATTGTTGTGGGGAAGGATGATGGCGCCGAACAGATTATGGAAAAGGCTGAAGTTAAAAGAGCGAAGAAGGAAGAGGCGGCGCTGGGTGCGACTCCAATTGACGTTGAAGCGAAGAAAATCATGAATAGTGCTAGCATTGAGAAAGTTGGTAAGTGAGGTTTTAGTTTAGAGGAACTTCACGAGAATTTGGTACCTTGAGGGGTTTTACATTTGATCGAGATAACGTAGTTGCAAATGTAATAGCTGTCGAACGAGGTGTGAATGCTGCGTTGAAGTGAGCAGAATTTGGGCTTTTGTTATAATTCGTGAGATATCTGATATGTCTTTGGTTTTGCGATTGAATCAGATAATGTAGGCGATGCAGGAATCACAAAGACAGGTACGCACATTCCAGGAGGAGGGAAAGCGGGGAGAAAGAGGAAAGTTGCATTGATATTGGCGTATTGCGGGACATAGTATCAGGGAATGCAGAGGAATCCGGGCGCCATCACTATTGAAGGTGAATTGAAACAAGCATTGTTTCGTTCCCAAGCAATTGCTGAATGCAACTTTGGTGACATGAAAAAGGTGGATTGGATGAGAGCTGCACGAACCGATAAGGGAGTCAGTGCTGTTGGACAAATCGTGTCTGCTCGGTTGGTGATTGATCCCCCTGGACTCGTGGAGCGCGCCAATCAGCACCTTCCCAAGGATATTCGCGTCTTTGGCTACACGAGAGTGACCTCCAACTTCATCGCCAAACAGATGTGTGATAAGCGGCGTTATGAGTATCTGGTGCCAATCTTTGCTTTCAATGCTCATGCTCATCATGATCGAGAAACTATGCAAATGTAGTCGGAAAGGAAAGAAAACGTCAGGCTGCAGCGCATAGAGAAGAGGAAAGTACTGGAGTTAAAAGCCACAGGAAGTGAAGTTGCCGCTGCCGATGGGAATGATGTAACTAATGGTGTGTTTTCTCATCTGTTCTTGATTCTGCATTATTGGATTCTAACTAGCTTTTCTTTTTGGATGTAAAGGATTTTCTGATAATACTTGGGTTTTTAAACAAGATGTTTCTTGCCGTTCACAGGAGCATCAGTGTCTAAGGCCTCGGAAGGGGAAATTAAAACCTTAGAAGTTTGTGTTGAGACCGCTACGGTTGTGAAGGAAGCTGTGGAGATTGAACCTGAAGAAATTCCCAACGGTGAAGGGCAGGTACCTTACGTACTTGACGATGCGAAAGTGAATCGGCTGAATGAATTTTGAGCAAATACGTCGGGACCCATAATTTCCATAATTTCACTGCACGGATCAAACCAGAAGATCCAAATGCAAAGAGATATATTATTTCTTTTACGGCGGGGAATGTCATTGAGGTCCAGGGCATGCAATTTGTGCCTTGCATTGTTGTGGGCCAGAGTTTCATGTTGCATCAGATCCGGAAGTTGATTGGCACTGCCATCGCTATCATGCGGGGATGTGTACCTGACTCTATCATCGAATTTGCACTGAGAAGGCATGTTCGTTTCTAGTTCTTCGTGATTTTAGAATTTGTCTTTTGTTGATCTGTTAATGTCCTCGAAATTGTTGCGCTAGCGTTCCTGCTCATGTCTGATCTCTTTGTCGCACAGAGATAATGATGTCAATACACCGATGGCCCCGGAGCTTGGTTTGTTCCTTGATGAATTCTTTTACACGGCTTACAACAAAAAATTTAGCAACTCGCATGAGAATCTGTCACAGGAAGGGTACGAGGAACAGATTAAGAAATTCAAGCATGAGGTTATTTACCCTCACATTGCTGCAACCGAGGCAAAGGATGGTACGATGGCTTTGTGGCTTCATGGGCTCAACGACCGGCATTATCCTTACTTTGCGATTCATCGAGAGGGAGTGAAGCTGTAGAAGAGATCACAGAGCATTTTTGGCGATTTTAAGTTTTTCGACCAACAATTATGCGGCCTCTGGAGGTTGGGACCAATTGCTTCAATAATCCACGTCTTCGTAAATCTGTAATCTTAATTTGCGGGTCCTTCTTAGCTCTATGTTTGGACTTAAAGCTATCTGCTGAAAGAGGGGCTAGAAGTTAATTGATCTATAGATAACGGAAAAACTTGCCGAACTTCAACACATGATGTTGAGGTTAAATCTGCAGCTTCGAGATTTGGGCAGGAACAATCAGTTTCTGCACGTGACAATGCCACATTACGTTAGGTCATCTATCTTTCAGGTTTTGGGAGAGGATTTGAGCCAGTTCCTCTGGAAGATTAGGTTTGGTCGTTGCAGGCAAGCTTGGTTATCGGCTGCAACCCTGTAAACAGAGACAATTCTGTGAACTCTCCTTTGCCAACTGTAAACTTTCAATCACCTCACTGAACGAATGTCTACGACTTCACCCACTTGCGACTTCCTCCAGTGTCTGAGGTTCTTTACTTTGAAATTGGCTCATGCTTGGAAGTGGCTTCCTGTTCAGAAGTGTCAAGAAGGAAGCATCTTGTTGTGAAGCATTTTCCCTGTTTGTCTGGTGCTGCCGATGTCTCTCCACTCCACACAGCTACATATCCAGCAGATTGTCCTCAATTTCAGCCTCTCAAACCGGTGTACACGGCCATCACAGCAATATCTGCATGTACAGTAGCGGTCTCTGGAAGTTATACACTACCAGAAGACCCTTCCACTCAGCCGATCGTCCCTTCCACCGTCATGATTGGAATTGTGGAGAGAACATGATGGCACACGAATATGTAGAGGATCAGTCCGTAAACGTGAGAGCTGTTGAACTACAGCTGAGAATTACTCATTGAACCCCATTTTTTTTCTCCGTGCCATACCAAGCATGCAGCTAGGGCCTACCGGTTATTCTCTCATCTGGGACTTCAAGGTGCCCCTCCGTTGTAACCTCTGTGGCCAAAGCTCTCGAAGTGAAAAAGTAAAGGCGCATGGCCGAGGGCGTGTTTCCCATCCTACCATGTAAGGTGGCATATCATTGGGCTGTGCCTCGGAAAATCATCGTGACGTGGGCATTTTCTTTTTCTCACAGAGCACTGATACAGCTGTGCAGAAGAATTTGATTGATGCTAAATTCACTGTTCCTAGACGATGCAATTTTAGATACTAAGATGTTATGTGAGATGGAGATAGACAGCTTTTCTGACACAACAAACTGCTGACTGCAGTACTCAGTAAGGTCGGGGTCAGGGATTCGAGTGGACACAGATTCTATGACGTTCGCTTAGGCTATTCGACGTCATATGACTTCCTACACGTGATTTCTCACTGTTCCTGAATTTCAAACTTCGAAAAGACCGATAAACCTACGAGCTTAATTTATGCCACAAGAGGGATTAAAGCAGTACCAAGAATGACCTTACTTTCTAATGAAACGTATTGTTCGTGCTCTTGGAATATTCTTGAACTGGTAAGGAGCGTTCTAGATTCAAGGGAGCACAGGGAGAGTAGTCGTTCCACTCTGCGAACTGCAGGGTGAAGCGAAAAGGAAGTGCATCGTTTAATACGATGAGTGTTATGTGGCTGATACTAAACCACCCGAGGTTGTTCATAGTTCAAGAGGATTGAGAATTGGACCATGACTTCAAACCTGGTACTTAATTGCATTAATCGACTGATGTATGAACCTCAGTGCTTGTATCGCTCGATGCTCCGCACCAGGGCATCTCAATTCTGAATCCTCAGCAAGAAAGGGCATCCGCTCCTGGGAAAAATGCGCAATACTTCTAGACGAGGTAGTCTGTTAATATATTCAGTAGCCTTTGCTGAAGCTTAATAATGTCCATTTCCTTGGGAGCTAGTTTCCTATGTTAACTTAGTGTTCAATATTGGACGGATTTTTTTCATGGGAAGATATACTTCTCTCCTGTGAACATGTCAGTGTAGTGCTCTAAATGTTTTGAAGGAGAATCCATCTGGAAGAACACATGTAGTTGTTACCTTGCATGAATCTTTTAGAAGGTCGTTTTCTAACAATCAGAAACGTTTGCAGGGGTTAAAAGTCATCTTCTTTGAGAAGACTACTTAGTTTTCCGCAAATGCATCGCAGCAACTCGACTTGCCATCTCTTCATCTATCGTGAAATGCATATCGAAAGGTCTGGACGTCTCGACTATATTCTTTGCCATTTCCCCAGACTTCGCGGGTTTCTTTCCGGGTTTGCTTAAGCTGTATTTGTGAACGAACAAGACATTTTAGCTGCTTGACCCTTATTGTGTGCATAGGCGCTTTCAGTTACAAGCTTCACCATCAATTAAATGAACAATGCCTACATTCTGATCTCCACGACAGGGTTGTCAGAACGATACAAAGTAAAAAAAATTTGCTCAACCCACCTGCACGCTTCTCCTTTCAGAAGATATACGTGCTTCTTCGGCATGTACAGCGAATAATTCTTGTGGATGTAGCGGAGCTTCATCAGAAGTTGATAATTCTGTTTCTCAATCTGCTGAAGCTTCTCTGCGTACGGTAACAATTTGAGATTATGTGATGCTGCCCATGTGGTGAGTCAGCTGAGTTCTTTATGCACTCTGGAGTTGGTCGATACTGAAGCTACCACTGACGGTTGCACTTCGAGCAGTTAGCATCACAGACTAGTCCTTGCGCAGAGAAATTTCAATACATGTACGCCTGTGTTTTTCGTGTCATTACGCAACACGACTGAAGGAATTGGCAAGGGTTGGGCTCACCTTTATTAATCCTCGATCTGACAGGTGCGCGATTTATTCGAACAGGGAAGAGGTTGCGGACGAGGCTGGGCTTCGAATTAACGCACGGCTTCATATTTTGAATGCGCTCTCGGTGCCTTTTCAACTCCCGCTCCCGCTCCCGCTTCGTCAAGATGCTCTCTGTCATGAACTTCCGCCGTGCAATTTCCAACTCTTGCGCGGCCGCCACTCTGACCCCCGCCTGCATTTTATCTAGCATCGTTTAACCTTCAATGCCCACCAAAACTGGATCGCTTCCATGTTGCAGTAGATCAGCGCCCAAGAATCGCTTGAAAATCGTCGTGATAAATCAAAGGTCACGGAAGTACAACGATTGGAGGGCTCTACCCCAACTAATGCACTTCTTGGAAAATTATTCTCGGCATGAAGGTCACGCCACGTTGCTACCCATGACAACGATACCCTCTCTTTCTCAGAATGAATGCGCACCCGTTCCAATCCTCCTTCACTGAGAGGCAGTTTTCGGGAGGTGCGAGAGCAGAGAAAGGATTCAATGAAAATGAGTGACAATGGTCGGAATGCACTCCTTCCCCTTCTTTCTTGTGTCACTGCCCTGTGGGCTGACGCGCTTCATGGACAGCTGAGATGGGTACGTGTGTAAGTTACAGCAGTTCGGCCAGCTTGTCACATGAGCATTCATCCTTATGCCTCATAACTCTTGACCACGCATTCAATGATTCCAGGAAAACTCTTGGAGATCAACGATCACGATGGCAAGGTGCAGATGTAAAAAAATGTACTGGGTTCTCTTCGTTTGGATCATGAAACCGTTGGCCTACTGCGTTCTGAGCGCGGTGGGAAAAAGGCTACTGTACGCATCCTCGAGGCTTTGTCACTGACCTTGCTCTCTCGTTCCCGGTTGTGTAATTTAGATAGCTCCAGGCAGAGAGATTCGGACAAACCAGTGAGCTTCGAGAACTCTTTGCATATCCTCAATGCCAAGCATGTTCTCCATACTCTGTATCAGACATCAAAATCATTCTGCGACGATTCGACAGTCTCGGACGCCGGTGGGCTTGAATGGGTGAGGTTTGCGATGATGGGTTCGTTCCAGGGTGAGGCAACATTTTCCTTGGAAGGTATCCTCGGAATCAGAATTGGTGGCAAAATTTGGTTTCCTCTAAGTCTGAACCTTCACATGCGCTCTGACACAAGTTGCGGTGATAATGCTCATCGTCGCCTTTGGAAAGCGATACGAATCCAGAACTGCAGAGTCCTTGTGCATTGGTGCAAATTCATGAGGCCCATGTGAGTTGGAGTTCAGTACTTGGGAGTTTTCGGAGTTGCGAACCGAGTGAGTTTCGCCATCGCTAACGCGATTCTAAAACCTTTTCGCATCGGAGAAGCACGACACTCGCAAATGGCTTGAAATGAAGATTACAAGACACATTGCTTAGAAACTTCTCCTCTCTAACACACAATAAATAAAGGGGAATGTTAATAGACCCAAGCTTCTGTTAATTTGACCCACCCATCCTAATCATCATGAAAAAAGTTCATTTCTCCACTAGTAGATCCAAAACCACATTCATTCATCATGATTATCAACTAAGTCAATTTAGTAAAAACTTGGGTCTATTTAACATTCCCCTAAATAAATAAATAAATAAAATGTACATATATTTCTTATATTAGCAATGCAACACTCATTACAATTCAAATTACTTGGCCATAAATTTTTAAATCTTTGCAATAATATTTAATAAAAGTTGTAAGAAATAATCTCATTGTTATTCAAACAATATAACATTATCGTTTTAATTTTGTTATAAACATCTATTTATATATAAAGATTTTAGAATAATATTATTTTAATATTGTAAATTATGCAATAATATTTATTAGTACTCTAAGTGATATCACAAAGAAAAATAATGCTTTGTTGTTATTATTGATTAAAAAAAGAATGTTTAAAAGATACATAAAAATAACAATGAACAATTAAATCTCTTTTATTACAAAATATAAAAGATAAATAAATAAATTAAAAAAATACTTATAGAAGTTGATAATTGCTTCTTTAAAAATAGACTATTTTTAAGAACTTGCTACAAATTGAGACATTTTTAAAAACCTTGCCATTTATTATGTGTTAAAAATAAACATATTTTTTTCTAAAAAATATCATGAAAAATACACATTAGAAGTAAACTCAAATATATATATTTTAGAAAATTGATAAAAATATTAAAATTTCTATTTATGAATAATTAAAATAGATATTTAAATTTAATGTATTATCAATATGGTATTGGTAAAACTAATAGTTGTGGGATCTAAAACTGAGATATATAATTTATGATTATATCTACAAATAATAAACAAGTAGAGATATATAACAAGGTTGATATTTATTTGCACCTAAGTCCCTTTATAATATAACACAAATAAATAATATAAAAGAAAAAATATTAAAATAAAAAATAAATAGTCATCTTTAGTGAAAGATTTAATTTAAAAATAAGATAATAATTTGACATCTATGTTAAATTTTTAAAATCTTGTATTGTAAAATAACACAAGTAATACTATGACCACTTTTTTTGGATTTAAGAATAAAAATTGTGTATTTATGTATACAAACATACAAACACCAAATTTTAAATCTAATTAAGTTTTCATATTTTATTAGAAGTATTAAGTTCTTCAAAAAAAATTGGTAAATTTTTTATAATTTTTTTTAGTATAAATCTTATTTAATTATAAAATAAACTATTTATAAATTATATATGAAGACATTTTTGTAATGAATTTTATTTTGAGTTCTAATTTATGTGTAAAATATTATTAATCTGACTATATAAATTATTAATATAATTTAGTCTTAAAAATGCATGTTGTACTAGTATAAGGTGTGAAAATAATGGATTTTGGATATGTGATAGTTGGCAATAGATTTAGGTACAGAATAACTAATATTTTTTTAATAAAAATATAGATAATAAATATTATATCTTTACTAAATATCTTCAAAAAATAATTAATAGTTTCTAATTTTTAATTTTATAAACAAATATTTTGTATGCACTTTAACTTAAAAAATAAGGTTAAGCACCTAACTAAAGTTCGATAAGCTTGTGTAAATTGTAAGGAAATTAATTTACTACATAAAAAATTATTTTATTATGTATTTATGATTTTTATTTTAAAAATTAATCTATAAATATATATGAATGTACATATTACAACTTTATTTATTATAGATGGACCAACTAATAAAATATTTTAAAAATAAATTATTTTAATTAAAATAATGCATGGCCTTAATATGGCTAAAATAAAAATATAAATCTATTTTATAAAATGTTATAATTATCCTTGTACATGCTATTTTTTAGAATTATTAATTAAGCTATATCAAACATAACTTCAATAGATTTCTAAAAACCACTTATCACTTTTGGTTCCAAAACTACTATTATCAAGTTTTCTAGAAATTAAAAATAAAAGCTAATTTAAAATGAGAAATTGTATTCCAAAAAGAATACATTGTCTTTATTCAATCTTTCAAGTGCAAATTTAATAGACATTTTTTGTTGCATGGGATTACATTTTTTATTTTTTTTAATTATTTTCTTTAAATATATTATGTAAGAAAATATAATTTTTTTAATCCTATATGCCTAAATTTCTAATATAAACTAATTTTTTACTTTCAAAGTTACACTACATAAACAAAGTCATATGTTTTTATTTACAATTAAATATATTTATCTATTTCTTCTCTATGGCACCTTCAAATCCTTTAAAACAATTGTGTATTCATTGATTAAGTCAAATAAAAAATAAATCAATACCACTATTATAAAAAATATATAACAATTGATCTTGAAGAAAAAAATTCTTAATAAGAATAAACTAGAGAAAAAATGATTTTTTTCCAAACTACATAGGCTATCTAACTTTTTAATTGTAACTTCTATTAATGTTTCTATTTTTATTCTATTTTTTCTAAATTAAAAATAACTATTAGTTAATATGTGGTTCTTAAAGCATATATGTCTCACCTTGAAAATTTGACACTTGATATATATAAGATTTTTTGTAACTTCATTATAATTTTTATGGAAAATGCATTTTTTCAAGAATTACCATGCAAAAAAATCTCTTCTACCGCAAAAATTTAGAAGACATGTTTTTCAGCCCATTTTCCAACTCTAATGGGTACTATTGATGAAGAAAACATTTTTTGCATAATTCCATTTTAGTTTTTAGTTCATAAGAGATGAAGATGATTATAAAATAAACTCAAGCATGGTTTACAAACACCTTTTCAAAATACATCGCATATAATAACTAATATAAAATTCACACGAACAAGTATTCTTAAAAATTTGTAAAATTATATTTACACACACAATATACAAAATCTCCAAAGTTCATCTCAAGCTTTATGAAATATGGCCGTCTCCCACACGATTAAGATCGCTGCAGCTATGATCAATCGTTTTTTTATAACTGATTTTTGTGAATGCAAGGATACTATATTTTTGTAATTTGCAAATGATGTTCTGTACACAACAGCAAAAGAGGTTGGCTGCTGCATCACCTCCTACATTTCATAATTTTTTCTTTAAAATATGATGGTAATATGGCAAAACATTACTATATTTGGATTGTAATATGAGAACTGTAAGTAATCTGTGTACCTGATGATTTTGCAGGGTATGGAAATTTCAATGTCGACAGTATTTGTGCAATTAAGCTGGACCGGCAGGGGTTGATCCCGATCTGCCATTATCTTTCTCAGATACATGCAGCTTCTTTGGCTGGTCAGCATAAAAACCATCTAGGTCAATCGCTTGCAATATTTGCTTCAAACTTGTCAAGTAGGATGAGTGACCATCCACTACTTCTGATAAGTCCACCTGCCAAAATAAAAGTTCACTTCATATCAGTTCATAACGATCTTAGGCTAGAGCATCATCTTAACATCTTCATACGCAGCCCTGTGCTGACTTACCTCTTTACCAGCAAATGATAACGATGAGGCACAAAATATATCATCATCTTGATTGGTTAGATGCATCTTCAAGTAAAACAATTCTAGAGGAAACCGCTTACATTCTCTATTCCAGGGACGTCCACTGGTTTAAGTCCTGATACTCCAAATGACATAAAGCTGCAATTCATAAACCCAGACCAATAAGTTAGTGATTTCTGGCGTCAACAGAAGCTCGATCGTCAAGCTATTAAGATTGAGAAGCATCTCTTTCGTTTAGTCAATTGATATTTCTAATTGAGGAGCACCTATACGCTCTAATCTACAGGGAATCCATGCTGCATTTCAGTAAAGTGCCAATTAACAGTCCTGTAATGCTCCTGGAGTCCAGATTCATTGACATTTTGCACATACCTAGCTCGATATACCACTCCGAGCACCCAGTCATTCTTGGAGAAGCCGTTGACAAACCGTCCTGCTACTACCTAAAAACAGAGGAGCACAAATTAGAGAATACTTTTGTTTCACTCATGGCATGAAGCTGGGTAACACATCTTTAGACACAGCCAAATCATCCTGCATGCAAGACTACCCCGCTTGTTCAAACCAGGCAAACATTCAGGATAGCAGATGTTGCCCTTGATATGAGAAATTGGCTTAAATTTAGGTGCCTTCTTTCGTTCAACAAAATCACTTGGCTATGTTTCAAAAGCTATGAGATAGTATCACCTTGCGCACAGACTCCCATTTTTCTTTATCCACTTTCTCTGGAGTTCCTAGAAGGAATACACGCTCAACAATCCCCAGTCCTGCAAATTGGAAGGTGAGCACTTGTGGTTGGTTGACAGAACGTAACTTCATGTAAGACTGATGCAAAATGGAAGATACCTGGCTGAATTTAATTTTGCAGGACCACTGACTGAAGAAAAAATAAAATATTTCACGGGCTGACCTTCATCCCCATGTTTCGCTAGCTCTTCCAAGCATTTGAATATTACTCGGGCGCCAAGAGCAAAACCTATCAGCGTGACTGGCCTGTAAAAATCCAAGAGTGTTATAAACTTCAAGTGGTTAATTACAAAGATCTAATTGGTGTCGATCCTTGCGAACAAACTGGCTTACTTGAGGATTGTTTTTAGTCACCTCCCTTGACATCCACAGAATCTTCCCAAGGACCACATTCTATTTGGTGCCAAAAACAGTCAAAAGACATGACAGCAGAAGTAAGAAGCTGAATGTGCACAGGCATATGCACAATCGGAAGATGCTTCTGTTTTAACGTATTATCCTGTTGTTTAACCAGTCACTCAGGTGGTTCAGAGTATCACCTACTCCCTTGAACATTCTGTAGCAAAATCGTCGCAAGAAGAATACCAGTTTTCTCCGACCTGAAAAAAAATCTGCTTTACGTTCGCGTTCTCAGGGAGTTTACAGCCCCAGCCTCCCACTGACGTTGAGGGAGATATATAAGCAATTTTTCACTAGTGATGGAATCCAAAGCATAAAAATGTTATGAACGTTTTGGGAAAATGAAGCATAGGATTGAAGAAGCACCTGTCAATAGCCATTCCCCACTTGCTGTCGATCATATTTGTTGCACCAAGGACTGCGAGCGGGGTCGCCATAGCGGTTACAAGCCCACCTAATACGGTATACATTGCTCCTTGTTTGATCGCTTGCTGCGTGGCAGCTGCAACAGGGACATATGATCTTCTATGTGAGTAAGCTTTGACCAAACCTACCAAAAATAAACAATTCAATGAGAAATATCCAACATTCAATTTGTACGAAGGCTACACAAAAAGTGACCAAATCTAGAATCTAAACGTTCGAGAATCGAGAGCTAAATTTGGTTGCATCAGATAATAGTCAAAAAGGGAAAAGCCGCACTTGACTTGAGCCAGTCTTGAACTGCGGTACTCACAGCAAAAACATGCTCCGACTCCCAACGCAACGCATACCTGCATGTGACATCATCTCTTGCGCATCAAGTCTACAAAAACTGAAATAAGGAACCAAATCATACGCAGAAAGATGAAGTCGAGGAAAGAGGCATTCAATGGCCAATCTTGCTGCTTTATACAATCCTTACTGGCAAGATTACATCAACTATAAGACTTGCCTCTCCAAATCGCCATCGGGAGTTTCCCACGGTTTGACAAAGTCCTCTGGCTGAAAAGCAATCCCTGACACCACTATCTCCACAGCCAAACGCTGCAAAGCAAGTAAAACATCCAAAGATTAGCTCCTGAAGAACAAAAAATTGATGATGCAGGCGTCATTTCACAATCTTTCTTCCAATATATTGGTAAACCTTAGCAGTGCTGGAATGGATTCAGGCCAAAGAGAAAACAGACTGACGTTGCGAAATTGAAACAGAAGGATACCCCTTGCTGATGGTTGTTTCCAAGTTTATCAAACTCGAACTCATCAACGTCACCAGTCCTTTTTGCCATCTTCTTACCAGTCATACCTGCTCCTGCCACTATTTTTCCAGCAGAATAAACATTGACACCATTACAGGAAGGCATGTAACAGCAAAATAATCTTTTTTATAAATATACACAGCCGCCCAAAAATCTCAATATATTTTAGATAACCTGTAATCTGTTAGAGAGAAGGGAAGAGTAGGTCACTACCTCCAAAGGAAGCTGCCACAGCAGTAGAACCAGCAGCACCTGAACCAGCCACTGAAGCGGCTGCTGTTAGTCCACTTGCACCAAGAATAGGCACAGCAGCGGCTACAGCTTCCATTCCTGCCGCTACAGCTGGAGCTGCTAGGCCTGTAATTTCATCCAAACACAATTATCAGAGTATATCGCCAAGAAATTGAGGTCCAAACAAGATGATGCAAAATGCGGCCTTGCCAGAGTTTCTGATAAGCAGTCAGAAAAACACCAACTGAGTCAATTGTTGCCAAAGTTATTACGGCTTAGCTCCTCTAAAAGTCAGTAACAAGTTAATTATAAGATTAAGAGATGTAACATTCGAGGTAAAAGCCTGTGAAGTTTTAACATGAAATTTAGACCAGAAAACAGTACCTCCAGTAACTGCAAGAAGTGCTCCGCCTGTCACAGCTGCTGCGCCTATCAAGCCCCCTCGTTTCCACTTCTTCCACTTGCTTTTTTTCCCTCCCTTTTCATGTTTTTTCTCAAATTCCTTTTCAGTCGCCATGGCTACGTGAGCTACTATAAGCTCCATAGCTCCCTAGATCAGACCAAGGCACGAGTATCAAGAAAGATAGCATTCGGAGTTCACTTGTAATCCACAATTTGAAGAAAAACAAAGGAGATATATAACAAAATGTACATCATGTAATAGAAATATAGTTCTGATATGTAGTCAGTAAGGACTCATGATCAACATCCCAGTAGTGTTGTAAGACACAAGATGATCACCACATGACGAATTAAAGCTGACACTAAGCAAACTTACAGCTGCGATCCATTCAATGTCGAACCACCGCGCCAACAAGCGGAGAGCGACTCGCTTACGGGCATCATAACCAGTCTTAGCAGACTTCATCGAATCCCTCTCGGAGCTCCCACTTGAATCATCTTTTGACATTTCATCAACCTCCTCCAGAGGGTGAGAGATGCATGCTGCTAAGAGGGTGTAGATTACAGTCACTCTCCGTTCTTTGGAGACAGATTTTGCCTCACTCAAGTCCCAGCCATCGATATCTTCACATGTGTTGTGCTCCACCTCTGATCTTGATTCCTCCGTCTTGTATTTGGGGATGACATCTGTCAGTGTACCATTTATTCACGAAGCAGCAATTTGATTCAGATATTATCATATACATCCGAGCTCACTGCAAACTTGAGAAAAACCATGTCCCTCAATTGAGAATTCATATGCACCACACTACCTAGCTTCTTTTTGGCTTCTTCAACAGCAGCATCCACAGCTTTAGCTAAGGATGCCTCATCTTTAGAAAGCTTTTTGGACTCCTCATCATCTGTCGACAAGATATTTAAGAACTGCACACATACAGGGTCAAAGCCTGTAGAAACAACAAAATTTTCCACATCCATGACTGTCTTCAAAAAATACATTACACCAGAGCGCCGCCTTCCAACCATGAATACAGGAAACGTGGGTGCATCATGTTTAGTGATATAATCTACACTCAAGTAAGAAGTTAGTAAGATTACCTTTAAAATGTGATCTTTAGCTTCCGTAGACACAGAAGCAGATTCCAGACCTGCCCACTCTTTTTCATCAATTTCCAGATATCTGCATCACAACCACTCCTTGTAAATGAAAAAAGGATTCCTTCAATTACAGCGACGAAAACCCTTTGGATTATGTGCCTTAGTAAACAGTGCGTCATATTGATAAAAATCATTGAAGCAGCGAATCAAAGTTGTGATCACCTGAATATATTTCGTAGAAGACCTGTCTGTTGAGACGTCCATGGAAGTTCTCCGTCGTTCTTTGATAATTTTGATGCGCCATCTCCTGGAGGATGAACGACGAGAGGTGAACCGAAGCCATTCTTTGAGCGTTGCTGCAGCTGGGCTTGACGGAGTGCTAATGCAAATAACCCCCCAGCTCCATATCTATGTGTGCTACTGAGTTCCGCGGAAGCCATAGCGGATACAGACCACAATCCAAACTCAACAAATGGTTTCGTGATCTCACAACCCACCTAAGAATGCCAATGACAACAACTCCAATCCCTCAATTCCAATCGATTCATTTTTCTCCTTCAAAAGTAGGTAAACAACGAAAGTCAAATTGGCAGCAGACCCAGCTCAGCAAATCAGCGGATTCTATTCAACAGTGACCTATGCCAACACCGACCATAGACGATCGCAAACCGACAGTATCGCACAACGATGCAAATGCTGCTGATTGCACTTATAGAGATCGCAATCAGAAACCCATTTCTTATTGTCAGCATCCAATCACGCGTTGAGTGAATAGCAAAAAGTGAGGATCAAAGCGTGAAGCCGAGCACGAAGCCGCCACCAAGTCCGCACGGGCAGAAAATAAATGTGACGTTGCCGGGAAGATCAGAATGCCAAGTGGAAAATCGTGCCGTGACGACGTGGCGGACACGCGGCACCACCTGAAGAGGCAGCAACTCCCACAACAACTTGACATAATTGTACACAAAAATGAGCCGAAAAGAAAAGAAAGGAGAGAGAAAAGTCTGCCACGAAGTAGGTAGCCTGACCATGCAAAGTATCAATTGAACCCACTTTTTTTATAATTTAAGCTACTCTCTATGTAGATCCACAAAAAATTTAAAAATTCATTTCCCTTTGCCAGAGATAATGCATTCTTTGGAGAATTGTTGAATAGAGAGCTCTTCTTCATTAGAAGATTTTTCACAATGTATCATGTAATTTACTCTTGCAATAGTATCTTTGTAGAAGGGTGTTGAAGTCAAAGCCTTTACTAAAATAATATTTCGAAAATAATATATAAAGATACAAATGACTTCTGTAAAAAAATCAAAGAATATATATTTTTTAAAACTAAGTAATTAATTTCTAAAAAAATAGATAGAATATTTCAAAAAAATAAGCTATTGTTGTTATATATACAAAATAAATTATAACCTCAAGTGCCTCCTAGAACCGTCTAAAAGCTTCCCATTATTTTTATTACTTTTTTAAAATCTTTAAAAATTATTAAGTTTTCCAAAATAATCTATAAGATTATTAGAACCTTTCGTAGTATTCTTTGTTGTGGTTCTAGTTACCTTTTAAGTAATAATGGAAGAATTATGCAATATCTAATTTAGTATTATTAAACTATATATATATTTTTTAAAAAATCTAATAGAATTACAACAAAAATTTAAAGAATTTTAGTTGAGATCTAAAGAAATATCCACCAAAAGATTTTAAAAGAATTCATGAATTAGGAAGAGATGAAATCAAGACTATTATATATAATAAGTTTGATAGAATAAAAGAAAGTTTATAAGGATTCATTTAAGAAGTGTAAATAATTCTACATTCATATCTTTTAAGTTACTTTGATAATTTTTTTAAATAGAATATGTAAGCATTATTTTAAATTTTACCATATTGGCTTAATTTTTACTAATATTAGAAAAAAATTATAATTTTTTGGCAACTTAATAATATTTACAATAGAATTTAAAAAATCTTTTAAAAAAATAATAAAATTAAGATTTTAATGAAAAATTTATAAATCCTATAATAAAAAAGAATCTGATATCAATATATGTTTTTAAATTTTAATAGCTTATATGTCATAGTAATTAAAAATAGGATAAAAAATTATTACTTTATTATCTCATATTAAAGATAGTGTAAAATGTTTATGTTTACAATGTCAAAAATCAATACTTTAAAGTAATTTATTATATAAATAGTTGCATGTAAAAATCAATAATATAAAAAAATAAAAATAAAAATTTGAATAGAAAATCATAAATTTAGTTGCAAAATTTAAAAATATCTAGAATAACAACTAATTACATATAAAGTCAAAGTGATATAATATAAGTTAATGAAATAAATTAAATCACTTATTTTAAAAAAAAATTATATATATATATATATATATATATAATAGTATGATTAATTATATTGTAATATGTTATTTCAATCAATAGAATTTTATGGCTTAAGAAATAACATTTATTATCAATTATATTTTGTTAAAAAAAATGTTCTAAAGACAAATAACTTATATAGTTTGACAATATGAACTTATAACCTTTTATTATTAAAAATATGAACCACAAAAAAATTCAAAAAATGCCAATATACTCTAATATGTCATAGACATATGAATTGACACTAGTATTTGCTAAGATAAGAGGAATTAAGTAGAAGTAATTAAAAATAGGTAAATTTAATAATATCTTATAGAATAGCTTCTTTGAAGCTTTATAGATATAAATTTGAATTTAGAAGTATTTGTAGGTGATTGATAGGTTGAAAATTCAATCATTAAGTTGGCCACATTGTCATGTAGTAATATGACTATATAGTAAAAAATAAAAATATAGATGTAATTATAGAAGAGTCTAGTAGAAAGATGTAGTAGAAAAATAAAGATAAATGATAGAAAAGTAGTAAAAGATTTAGTCATAATGCTGCCTTTTTGTAGAAGGGACTTCTATTCAAATCAAAGTAAATAAGATAAAAAATAATATAGGCATGTGTAGGAGGGAGTTAAGAGTAGTTTTTTGCAAAATTTACTTTAAGAGGCCAAGAATTGATATCTGGAGAGGACTAGTTGTTAACCTAGGTTGAAATCACATCTTGAAGCACAAAACCAGACACCTATGGTGACTCTAGGGTAATTTATAGATCAAAGAGTGGCGTTTGAGAGAAGATTTAAGAAGAGATTTTTAGACATTAGTTATATATCAATCAAGTAAATTTTGATTTGGTCTAGGATTTGCTTAGGATTTGGTTTAGAACTAGTTTAGAATTTATTTAGGATTTAAGTTTTCATTAGGGTTTCAATTAGGATTTGACCTAGGATTTGATCAAAGTTCAATTAAGATTTTAATTAGGATTTGACCTAAGATTTAACGTAGGATTTGGTTAAGATTCAATTTGAGTTTCAATTAAAGTCATATTAGGATTTTTATTTCTAATATTTCTTTAAGATTCTTTGTTTTTTCTTTTAAGGTTTTTATTTCTAATATTTCTTTAAAATTATTGTAATTTCTTTAAAGTTTTATTTTTATATTTTTTAAAGATTTCTTATTATTTTTTTTAAGATTAGTTTGGAACATCTCTGTGTTTCTTTTATAACTACTTTTAAATTTATTTTTGATTGGTCAAAGTTTGATTAGGATTATTAAGGTCTACTTAAGGTTATTTAAGATTTTATTAGACTTGGTAGAACTGTTCTTGTATTTCTACTTACCTTCTACAGCTAGGGGCTTGGTGTATTTTCAAACAAGAACACATGTAATATGACAATGTCTTGCACATGTTGGCTATTTGAGGTACAAGTTGGCGATATGGCTCACATATTGAAAATATTTTTTGCAAGTTAGACTCATACTTCACAAGTCAAATACATATTAGATGACCTATATAATGTTGCCATATAGCTCTTTAGTTGGATAATATATATTGAAGCAAGAGTGAGGCCTTCTTCATTCATGTCAATATTTTTTTTGTTATCAGTCTTATTTCAAAATTCTTTATTTTTCTTTATTTAAGCAATAGTTATTTTAGTTTTAATATTATAATTATATTTGGATAAATATTTACTCTTTTTTAGTGACACTAGAGTATATTTATTCTTTGGTTGATGTATAATTTATGTTCTTGATAGTTTAATAAGAATACTAATCACTATATTTATTTTGTTTTAGAGGTGATTGAATTATTCTACTTTTCATCATTGCAATTTAAAGATTGCACTCTACTTACCTTTAAACTTCCATTTGTTTTTATTTTTAATATAGAGTATTTTTTTAAAGACAATAAACTATTCCTCTTTGTTGAATTTTTTTATTTGATATTAGAGATTACGAATTAACTGCTTTTATTTCGACTTGTAGATTTATTAAAGTTGTATATTATAAAGATGGAAGGAAAAAAAATCTAGATATTATAATTGGTAGAAGTAAGAATAGATTTGCAACTATTGCAAATCTTTATAAGCTTGTCAATATTCTTAGAAAAAAATTTTCACTTGCTACTAAGGTGAATCATAAAAATATTATTTCTATGCTTATAGAAGAAGTCAACAATGAGGTCTAATGTTTATACCTAGAAATTGTAAAGTTGAAAGAAGAAAGTAAATCAACCTTACAATTGATTCCAAAAAGTCTTATTAATACAAATATAATAAAGACAAAAATTAATATGCTAGAGAAGTTTTATAGCACAAGATCAAAATTTCAAGTATATTTACAATAAGTCAAGTTTTTTTTTAAATTACATCTTTTTTAATATCTTAACAGATTTACTTAACTTGGATTTACAAGTATTTTTTTATTTGCAAAAGTTTTCTCTTTATTTGTTGCTTTAATAGAAAATGAATTATAACTTCTACATGATCTAAATTTATTCTAAAATATATTTATAACCATATTGAAAAAATTATTAAAAAATAATAATAAAAATCAAGATTCTAACTTTACAACAAGAAGTATTAAGAGGTATTGGATTTTGAACATGGCAAACGGAATGGGAGAAATCACCACATAAAGTAAAATAGAACCTCAGTTCAAACACTACTAAACATACTAAACTACATAGCCTCCATGGATGCTGAAACACATCCTCAAGTATACAAATAAATGATAAAGCTATTATAGAATTCAACCAAAATGTCCATGACGAGTTTGTCCATGTGCACTGGTTGATTGCATCTAAGCTCCATGTGTGCTACTGCTCTACCACCCGCTTGAGGCTTAAAAAACATCGTTATACACATCTACGTAATTCTCAGGGTTGATTTTGAGCCTGAGGACACATTCTATATGCCGCCGTAGCCAACACAATACAACTACCAGTGTTACACAAGCTCTAGAAATACCACGACTTGGTCGCCTCCATCATCCCCTAGAGGCATCGGATCAATTCATTGAGCTAAACGCCTGTGAATTGGATGGATGGCTCCCCTAATCGAGCATACTTTGTGAAGCAGGAGAAGCTGATCGATGTGTGTTTCATGATTGATTGAAGTTGAATAGTACTGTTTCTGCTTCCATTAAGAGGAAAACACTTACGAGGGTGGGAAGAACTTGTGAAGACCTGCGGGCAGTAGAATTCCTCGTTGCGAGGATCGTTGAGGTAGTACCTGAACTTGCGAATCAATAACATTCCCCTGCCTTACTTGGATACATGACGGGTGAGGGTGGTGTCCAGCACGGTCCCCACCACGAAGCACACGATCATTGAAGAGGAGAAGAAGGCACTGAGGATGTTGTTGAACTGGTGCAGATCACACAAAAAAAAAAAAAAATCGAATTAAGGGCAGTGGATTGAATTTGGTGGTCCAGCCAAGAGCAAGTCTCACAAGAAAGTACGCTGAAAAGGAATGAGAATTGAAGAAATTATGGGGAAAGGGTACATACCCATGGGGAATTCGTATTCACGGGACCGTGTCCAGAACGCAGCGAAAACTCATTGAAGTACTGAGGAACCGATAACCCCATGAAGAGGGAGAATCCCACAACGAATATGTTGCGTGTTGAGTTCATGTTAGCGAACTGGAACATAGATATTCCAGTGCCCACTGCATCGTGCATAACACAAGCATATACCAACGATTAATCAAGGTTCAGAACCTATAATACGGAAAGAGTAGCGTGAAAAGCAAGCGATTAAACCCTGTTAGATTCCCTTGCAAGTTGGAGCGTGTGAGAAACTGGATGCTCACCAACCACGCCGAAGTTGATGCAAAGAAATGCTGTAACGATGGGCTGAGGAATTGAGGCGAGCACAGCACCAAATTTTCCTGCAACCAAGAGAAGAACCAAATGGATGAAGTGTCAACACGATAATTTCTTACTTCGTATGCGTAACCAACGAGTTACTGCCATATTTTCCAACTCGCAAGAAACTTGATGGTTCAGAGTATCAATGGAGTGGTGAAACGTACCAAAAATGGAGAAGAAGAGCATGAAACCTGCAGAGATCTCGGCCACTCTTCTGCTTCCCACTCGAGTCAAGCCCACGAGCCCAACGTTCTCTGGCGCTACGGTAGTGCCGGTAGATGTTCCCCAGAATCCATTGAACAAGAGTCCAATCCCTTGCCACCCAATTCCTCTGCTGATAATATAAGAGGGTGGCGGCGTTGCACCTGAAAGTCGAGAGAGTGAATAGAACTCACCCGTGGACTGCAGCATTTTATTCAATCATCAACCATTCCAGTATGTAGGTTTGAATGGTACTCCGCGAAGATTAGTGGTAGCCTTGAATGGGGTTGCAAGAAGAGGAATGAGGTACTAACCTCGAGAAGAGAAGCAAAACCACCCGTCATGATACCGAAAGCATCACCTGCGGTAAACGTAGGGGCACCCCATTGCAGAGGATACGGATTCCTCGAGTCAGGACAATAGCAAAAGAGGCATCTACGCTGTACAGACTGATATCAAATGTCTGATTTGCCTATTAGAACCTGAAGGTAGGAAAAGATGCAGATGGTTATAAAACCTTTGAGAAGAGAAGGAAGAGGAGGAGAGCAGGAATGCCGATCTCAACGCACTTCGCAACCTGTTGAAGATTGGAAATTACAACTTAGAACTAGGTAAGGAGAATTCAATCACTTCCATAAACAAATCCACTGACAAACATTCCCTTGGAAATTAATATGAGAGGGAAATTCACAGCGAGTGGCATTTCCTTACCCCGGGAAATCCATGCTCGAATATCCCTAATCCCACGAGAATTGTGATCGGTGCAATTACAATGGGACTGATGTATGTGAAGGCGACTCCCCAGAGGCCGCTGAAGCCAAGTACGATGTTCAAAGCCGATCCGGCGATGAAACCTCCTTGAGTGGCTCGCATTCCCCTCAGAAACCTCTATGGTATCATTCACCTTTCAACAACTACTAAAATTCAACCTATATTTTGTTCATTGCGAGCAGCGAAGATAGAGTTCGACAACATTGTATCCCCATTGATATGAAGGGAGTTACAAATCCAGAGTAGAATGTGAGGCACCTCATTAGGGTCTGGGTAATCGATAATCCCACGTCTGCTAACAATGGACAGCATCATTGGTAAGAAATAGAAGGAGCTTCCCATTACTGTTGGCAGTCTAGAGCCAAGGCCTGTTTGCACAAGAGTATTGATCGCAGTAACGAACAGCACGGATTGTATTGTCCTCGCTAGATCACCCTGCAAGCAATTCAAGGTTCGTGGTTATCGGTTCACCTCAACCCATATCATGTGAGTTGGAATTTACTAAACTGAACCGTTATGTAAACTTCCACGGTTGTTTGGAATTGTCAATAAACAAGTCCTTGAAGGTTACTTCTATTTATCACCACAAATTGCATTGCCAATGCCATATGAACGGAACTTGTGCCTCAGAATAGAGCAGGATTCGTTTTGTACCGGTTCTCTACCAATCGCTCGTATGACAGTAACCGGAATAAGCACCGACGTGCCGAGCATGGTAATGTAGTTCTGAAATCCAAGAAGTACTGCGACACCTGGCAAGTACAAACACTCACAAGTACACGCTTTATTGATATCATTATTGAATTTGTTTTAGATCAGGTTTTATTGTAGATAACTTTCGGGGTCTGTTTGTTGGACATGCCTATCTGGTGCTTTCATGAGTCATTAGCTCTGCGTAAGAATCTAAACCGTGAGAATCAGCCGGTTTCGGTGATTGCTCGACCCCTTCTCGGTTAAACATCGGTTAAGTGGTGGCAATCATGAGAAGCGCTACAGTCATAGTGTTGTCGTCAGGTACATCGTCGACCAACCTGGAATCGGCAATGATTTGCGGTGGAGCTAGAGACAAAAATTGCCAATCACGGTAGAAGGAAGAAGAACGAGACACACATACCCCATCTGGGATTGTCGTTGATACATTGTGCGGACCTGGCAACTGTTCCAATGAAGGGTGATGCAGATCCTCCTGCTTGATGCCCGGCGGCCCAGCCACTACAACCGAAGAAGCTGCCATGATTCAACGTTCTCCGACACCTACCTCCTGCAGCAATTACATTCTCAATCAAGCAATTTGCATCAGGGGCAATCACCTTCCACAACTCCACACCATAGTTCACACTGACCAAACCACCACTACACCTGCGAACTTAGCTGAACTGCGTGAATTACCCTGAAAAAACTTACAAATACTGGTTTCTGGCAGAAGATTGAGAACCAGTGCCAACGAGATTGCATATGTATTAAGCAATTGTACTCAGAGCTCTTGAATCCAGAGCTCACCAGACCAATTTAATCAGTGCGGCGATCGTGATGCTGATCGATAGCAAGCTCAACGATGAAATTTGTATTAAAAGTTTGCGAGTAGTACTACAGAAACCCGAGAATCGGTCCTTGGCAAGAGACTGAAACTTACAAGAATGTCTGAAGTCTTGCAGAGGCGGCTTCAGTCCCTGCAACAGACGCAGATACGAATTTCGCTGCTCACCGACGCAGTCTGCAACAGCAAACTACCTACCGCCACTAACATGACGACGTCGAAATGTTTAAAAAAAATTGCCTCGATAAAATTCCCACAATTACCCCGCAGGATTATTGCGCTTTTCAAGTGCAATACATCCACAACCTCACTAGACCTGGCAACACCTGCAACAACACACTTGATCGCCGCTTATAAAAGTTCACCTCACCGGTGCCCCTGGTGATATATACATAACAATCGGAGGGGGGATGGTCCTTGAAAAGCACGATTACCACTCAAGGTCTTCAGTGATGACTAATCTGCTCCTACGATTGAAACTACTGTTCAAGCACTGGCCAACCATCCAACTCTGTGTACTGATCACTTGAATCCTCATCTTCTACCCTCTCAATCATGCAGACACTACGAGAGAGAAAGGGAGAGAGAGATGGTTGAAACACAACACCGACCACCCACAGAACGTTAACGCACCACAATGGCTGATTTCTTCCCCAGCAAAAACCTTATTCGAAACTCAAGTCGTGCGACAAATCTCGCTGCATTTGTCGGATTGCCAGAAAGCAGCCCACAACGAGGCGACAGTCATGTTCCTTCGCTGACTGTGCTGAACACGGAGCACGAATTGCTTGCGTGCGGCTGGCAAAGCAAATCTTTCTCTTTATTCTAGGCCTGGCTCAGAACCCAGATCCATGCTCAAGAGTATATTTGCTCCTCAACAGACTGTTACTCGCTCATCGCAGCTCCCTCGAAGCAAACTCCGTTGGAGCATAATTGCGTGGTTTGTGAATTATTCTGACGGAGACTTTCCAAGGCATCTCTCAAATCAAGGCTGACATTTGGTCTACGAGGTGACTAGGTGAATTGAGTGGCATGCAGCCAGATTTGACAAGCTTAATGCACCGTTGATCATTCTTCTTCGCGTCCTCTTTCGTTCACCGCTACTCTAGCATCAAACTAGCTCCAGTAGTAGCATTCAATTGTTGCCCGGAACTGGCATTCACAACTCTATCATTCTTTTAGCACCAGCTGAAAATCCATGAAACTTTGTCACCTATATCTCATTGAATTCACCTTCCAATTGTCCATTTCAGTACAGATAGAACACATTTCATTCATGGGCTCAATCAGGTTAAAAACTTAGCCTAAAAAAGTAATTTTTGTTTCTTTTGTCTTCTTTTAACTCATTATTTGTGCCCACTGCATATTCCCTATTTCCTGAAGCATTTTTCTATGCATGTGCACATGAACCCTTCTTGTGTTCCCATGCTAGTTCCCAAAATGTGGCTGCATGGTTGTGTACAAACATTGGCTCCCAACAGGGGTTCACTATGAATGTTTTATCTGTGGGAATGGGTCACAAGAGAGGTGCTACACCTTGTTTTTTTTAAGAGTAAAAGAACCCACCAGAAAGTTTTGTGTAAAAGTATGGTTGTTTTGGGGAAAGCATGTGTCATGCAAGACCCAAAAAAGAAATGTTGAGATTTATGTTTTCTTTTCAACCAACCTTCTCATACATGATTAATTGAATTGACATTTTAAAAGTATTCTCAGAACAATCAACCCAGACTAGGCTACATTGTGACTGTTGTTTGAATATAAGTTTTGGTGTAATTTTCCCAATTATCTTTAATTTACCTAGTCCCACAGCTCTTTAAATATTTTATAATGCCTTTAAAAGTAGATACAAAAAACATATCTATTTAAAGATGAGATAAATTGAAGCTTTAATAAAATAAAAATAAAAATAAATGACACATTTTGTTGATGATGATTATATTTTGCAATAACTAAATGCATATACCCTCTACTTTTGTTATATGAATCAATGTTCCATTGACAGTTTTGAAGACTATCCAAGCTGGGGCATTGCTGTGGTTGTTGTTCTCATCTACTAAGGAATCATTCTGTCAGTGTGGAAAAATTCAATAGAGGTATATAAAAAATTTGTCCACTTAGTTTTGATACAACAATTGTTTTTGCTTTTGGAAGCTCTAGTTTTGCTTTAGATTATATGTTCTATCAAACTGAAAATGAAATCCTTAGGAATAATTAAACAATGCATTACAAAACTTATCTCTCTAACACCTACATTATTGAAATGCTTGCAACAACTATTTATAATAAACTCATATAACATAAAAATAATGATAATTGAATGTTGTATCAATTTGTGTAAAGGACAATTTATATATGTTCTATGAATAATAATATGCTCCACTATTGAAACTTAAATATTAATTACTGTACCACACTGTTGATAATACTCTGGGATTGTACAGGCCAGTCATGATAGTTGGATTTGCTCTCCACAACCAAGCAATATTCAAATGCCTGGAAGAGCTGGCAAAGCATAGCCATGAAGGATTGCTCATATAAAATTTATTTGTTTTCCCATTAATAGGTCTTGCAAATGAAAATTAAGTCATGCATCTTCCATGTTGTGTTAGTCACACCTGGAGTTACATTTTGTTACATACATTTTCCTTCCAATTTGCAGTACTAGACATTGTTAAATATTTACTCCTTCAGAGACACTAGATAAAGTAAACAAGCCTGTGTGGGCAAGTTGATACCATCTCAGAGCTTTTGTGACATAGCTAATTGAGTTTGTTCAACAAAACAGGGTTCTGCAAAAACTAAGCCAATTCCTCATGTCAAGAGCAACATTTGCTATCAAGATTATTTGCCTGGTTTGTGTAAATAGGGTCCAATTGCATGCAGAATGATTTTGCAGTGTCCAAAGATGTATTGCCCAGCTTCATAATATGAGTGCAATCAAAGTATCCTCTGAACTGGGTTCTTACATGGTGTATTGGGTAAAGTAAGTACAATATTTCAAATGCAATTTTATGTGTAACTGGTAAAAGAATGTGTATGTGTGTGTGTGTATATATATATATATATATATATACTGGTGTTTTAATTGGTACAATACAAGGCTTAGAATTTTACAATTCTAAAAATGAGTTTCAAAGATATGCTAAAAATATCAAATATGTAAGAGACTAAAGTTGAGAAAAAATGTAAGAAATACAAGAAAAGTAAATAATTTAGATTATAATATATGTGTAGGTAAATCACTGAAAAGATATAGATGTTGGTTATTGGAGATTTTAGATGATGCTAGTTTTATTGTATAACAGTTTTATAGATTAAAAATAAAATTAATCTTACAATAAATGTTTTTATGTTTTATTTTATAACTTTACTGTTTGTAAAGTTTTACGAGCTTTTCAACTTTGCTAGGATCAGTCACACAATACAAGTCATGCTTTTCACCAAGCTTAGATGTCAAATCATTTGATGAGTCTATCTTCAGTTTTGAGAAATTATCATGTCATTAGTTCTAAAAATGCAATGTACACAGGGAAATATCATTTTCATCAATTGGCAAAATTGAGAAACCCATGAGGGAGGATGACCTTGTAGACATAGCCATATTTGTGAAGGTAATGTGAAATAGAGAAGGTGGATTGGTTTAATATTTAGGTGAGTCAATTTAATATTCTTATATATATATATATAGACTTGGTGTTTAATCAATACTCAAATTTTACTATTTACTATCTATAACTTGACACCATTTTAACTTGTCGTGGCCACTATCTAGGTTGTTGGAGGTTAGTTTTAAGATTTAATGTACTTTTGAGTTCGTGAGTTGGAACTAATGCATTTCATGAACCAATTGTACTCAATTTTTTTATTTTACTTTATGACTCATTGAAACCCCATAATTTTGTTTAGATACCATGTGGTGATCCTTGATTAATACATTTTGACATGTAGTTATTAGTGGTGATGCTTAATAAAATGTCAGCAAAATAAAAATATTCTTTACCAATTTTCTTATTACTAAATGGTATTTTAAGTACTATTGTTTCAACATAGCTATCTATGTAGGTCACAAAAATATAGTAGTCACCAACAATAAAGTCTTCACACTATTTTGATCACTTTATGACTTTTCAAGCATTCCATAGTGACTTATAAAAGCAAAGAAAAGAGACTTTTTTTCTACAATACTTTCTAAAGTCTTCAACTATCTTCCATCTTTTATCGATATCCTAATAAACTAAAGAGGCTCTAAATACATTCTTATATTATAAAAATACGTATTAATGTCTCAAGGCCTTGTACACCTTTCCAAAGACACATATTTTTTGAAATTGCTCCACATGACATGTATGATCACTTTATTATTACAAATTTATCATATACTTATCAATAAATTTTTTTTGAAAACACCTCTAAAGGAGATGTTTAATAATTTATAAAATTATATAAATATAAACTATATATATATATATATATATATATAGATGTATTATCAAATGAATCATTTTAACAAAATACTTTAAAATAAAATAAAAATAGTAAAAATTTGAAAATTAATCATTTATTTTCATCTTTTAAATATCATTTATTAAAAAGTGAAAGCATCATACCTATATTTCCAACAAATAAGCCTAGAATATTTAGAAGGTTACAAAACTATTCATATCTACAACATTGTATTTTAAGTAAAAAATAATATTTCCATACAAAAGAGAGCTGAAACTCGGAAATAAAGAATATTTATACTACATGAGTACAAGATATCAATAACTGATATGTTAAAATACAATAAGAATTAAATATCATACGATAAATCTGATTTAAGAAAATGTTTTAATAAATTAATTATGAATCAAATTATCTTATAATTATACTAAGTTTTCAATCAAACAATCATATGTGTATGATTTAAAAATGTTTAAGAAAATTTTCGTATTAACTTCATTAAAGGTCTCAAAGAGATTTTCACTTAAAGCAACAAGAATAAAAAAAAATCACATAAATCAAAAAAATTCTTCTTGAAAATTTATATATATAATGCTAAATTACATGCTGCTCATCGTAATAAAAAAAAATTAAAAAAAAAAAACATTTCTTGGTTAATGTTGTCAAAAAATCAATATTTATGACTTAAAGAAAGTATTCATTTTCTTTTATAAAAAGAGTATCATGGTCATAAATAAGTAAATAAAAATTATTTATTTTTAATTTTTAATTTTTTTTCATGTTGTTATATTATGTTCTGATTTATCAACTTATTCATATTCTTCACTTATATCTTAAAAAAATCAAAGAACAAGTTTAAAATATTCCACATTTATTCAACCTTATTCAATCAATCACGAAATAATATTTCGTACCTTTAACATCTCATATATTTGATAAAATAAGCTACTTTTATGAAACATAATTGTATTTACCAACTAGAGTCTATTAATTGATATCTACATGTATATATGATCTAGTATTTCTGTAGTGTGAAACGTCCCTTTATTGGGCTCGTTTGTCTCGGCTCGGTTATCAGTCATACGATCCCTGTCACCGCGGGGGCCTCCGCAGCAGCCGCGACGATGCTTGCGTTTAGACGAGGCGAGGCCTTCTTCTTCGACGTATTGGATTCCGTGTTGCGGAGCTGGGTTTCGTTCTACGGGAATCTGTTTGCCCACTATGGCGATGAAGCTGGAAGGTATGGGTGTCGGATCATACTTCTGCTGGAGTGACCGTTTAATTTCTGCGTTGAATGGTCCACTTCTAGGTTTACCGGTTCGACGCAATTCGTTGTTAGTATCGAATTAGCGATCTCATGTAGTAGGAATCTGACGCCAAAATTTTGCGCAACTGGTTGTAATATTATAGAGGATACAAGATAAGCATTAGCGTATGAGGGGATGTGATTTTTGTGGGTTTTCTCACCTTAAAATTCGGGTAGCGGTGCGCTTGATATTTAGGGTGGCTTTGTTTTCTGGTATCAGTTCTCAGGGACTAGTTAGCTGGGAATCAAAATTTAGTCTGATTGTACTTTGTTTCGGGGTGTCCAGCATGCAATTTTAGGGTTAGAAATTGAGCTGCAGTGTCGAGCTTGTTATGATTGTAATGGTCTTTGGTTGAATTAGCGATATTAACCAGTGGATATTATCTGTTGGTTTAATATTGCCTGTTCGTTTCATTGTAGCTATAATTTATCTTGGAGGAAGTCCACGAGGGATCTAATGCCCTTTCAGTGTGAAGAATAAAAATGGCATAACCATGCTGGTTCTAATCTGTCCTGCACTTCCATGATCACATCTTCAATCATGAATTGTCTCAACGGTTTCGGTTGGTTGGAGTATTGATATCACGTGAACCAAATGTCTTTCATACAATCTTTAATTTTTAATTTCAGTGAAGTATTGCTGAATTTGGGCACATGGAAATGCTGGGGTGCTGATATTGCTTGCTATGGCTCTCATTGATGGCATATGTGGACTTCATCCTGCAGTTGTAGCTGGCTTAGCATTCCTTTTCTCGGTCGGTTTTCTCCTTCAGATTCTGGTAATAATCGCTTCTATGCTTGAGCTAGACCAAGAATTCGTGTGAACATGTGGCACTGTTCACTGTATGTGAAGTTCTTACTTGACCTAGCTCAGCTGGCATAACTTTGCGATTTTGCAAACTGTGTCTTCTTTTCTAGCATTCATCGTTCCGATTCAGGTCATTCGTAGGCTGCGTCTACATCAGTGGATATAAGTGTGTTTAATCGATTTGGTGATCTAAAATCAGTTTAATGTCATGAAATGTAACTGATTAATATGCGTTCTGCTTTTCAGGGATGTGCTTTATACAATAACTGGTGGCCAATGCTCACTGGTACGATTGTCTTCCATGTACTTGCTCTGACGATTTCCTTTGTGCTCACTAACGGCTATTGACTTGCAGTTGTATTGAATGTACTGGTCCAGTAAATTAACAGCATGTGTGGTGGCCTCTCCCGTAAGTTCATTTTGTGAATGCTGATTTGTTTGAAATGGTTCCATACTCACAATAGTGGACGTCTTTTGTTTGAATGGCTTCAGGTCTAATGTACATAATGCTGCCGATGCCTTGCTTGTTTTTTGGAAGCGGCGATTCTGGGATTTTTTCTTCTGATGGGGGCGAGTAAGTACCTCATAGTAACTTCCGACGGCACTATGATCCGCTGGTAACTGTGTGTTTGGATATTGGAGATTATTGTAGTGTTTGTTATGTTGCAGTTGTGTAACGTTTTAATTGATTTGCTGGTACGCCTAGTCCCAACTTTTCGTTGAACTCGAATCTGTTTTGTCTGCTGTATGAACAGCTGGGAAGACGCCGCCAAGTTCCTCACTGGTTTTTCTTCTGTTGGAAGCATTGCTATCCCCGCTATTTTGCGACATGCAGACCTTATCACGGCAGGCGCTATGTGGATTGAATTCATTGCTTTCTTCGTTCTTCTAGCCACGGTGGTGATATTTCAACGCGTAAGTCAGGAAGACAATTACAGTTATTACTGATGAAAGTCATGGATTGGCTCAGCCATTTGTACAGTTCTTGTCTACTTAGAAAGGTGTTGAATTGCCCAGTATTATTTCGAAACTCACTACATTAGTCACCACAACAGTAACATTTAGATTGGGTTCTAGCCTTGTGTTATGTTCAACATATATTCCCGTTTTGGGAAGAGTTTCAGTCAAGCATTTTTGAAATCTTGTTAGCAAACATTGTTTTAGCGTGATGTGTTCCTGTATCAAAGTTGACATACACTTACGAAGATTATATAGCCCTCATAGTCTATGGGAATCCTTGCCCTCTGTTGTTGATTAGAAATGGCTCTGAGTAGGACAGCGGCAGGACATTAGATACATCAGGTGTAGCAGGGATTAGAGATTTGAGTTAATAATTGCCACATGTACTCAGCGCACCAAGATGTATCAATTTGCTCCTTCTGGACTGCAACCCATTGACGTTTTGATCTGGTCCAATTCAATTGAATGGAATGTATTATTGCCAGTGCTCACAAAAGCATGCAAGGGAGTTCCTTTAATGTAACACCTGTACTGCTCATGACGGCTTCATTTTTGCAGTTCATTCCTTAGTGGTGCTATTCAGCAAATTTGCTTACCAGCAGGGTTTGCAAAACAACTCATCAAAAAATAATTTAAGTCTAAAAGTTATCCCTTGTAAGTGTTGCCATTACATAAAGATGTAAATGAATCTCCCTTTGAAATGCAAATTTAATGTTTATTAGATTTATACAAAATCAATGCAAGGAAGTTGAGGTAACAGATAGTAGGATAATAATAGAAAATGATAGTGTAGCACAAAAACATCATATTATTCTTACATGGAATTAAAGGCAATTTTGCTGCTTGGGTAGTTCCAAAAAAATTACAATAAATCTCCAAAATAAACATTAAGAAATTTGAAGGCAAAGAGACTGAAGTTCTATTTCAAGATAAAAACCAACAAATTTGTGTGAGAAAATCAATATTTTATGACATTATTATATACTATCAATAGTACATTCTTTTTTTAGCTATTCTCTTGCAGTAGAAATACTTATTGAATAATAATTAAGAAAATTCATAATACATACATAACACTTCAATAAGTATAGGCTTATAAAATTGCATATTATCTTTACAATGTGCAAAGAATTTACAACTCTTCTGAAATTTAATGACTACTAAACTTAATGATATCTTTATATAGTTCTAGTAAATTCCATTGGAGTAGCAAATATTCATTTGTAAAATAAAATACAAGAAAGAGGATATAAAAAAGAAAAGAAAAGAAAAGAAAAACTTACTAGTATGTTTTTCAAAAATATTACTTGAATTTATAGTAAGGATTAAAATATGGTAACGAGTATATATAATAATTCATCAAATTCTAAAAAGAGTATTACTATTATAAAAAAAATTTCATAGAAAGATTATTATACTAATAATTTCTTCTGAATTACTTTTCAACAACCAAATTGATAAATTATTTATAGACAAATTCAAAAGATGAGGTGAACATTTTAGTGAGTTTTATTTGCAGTTTCACATTCTCTAAATATTTAAATTATCTTAAAATTAAAGTATATATATGATAAAAGGTAATTTTTTAAATTAAAAGATTAGTTGAACTTTTTTTCTTATATAAGATAAAAAACAGTTTTATTAATAACAAAAAAATTTAAAACTTTTCAAACTTAAAAAAAAAATCTAATCAAAGAACCATTAGTTTTAAATTTTAGAACATAATAAATTTATAGAAAAAAGACATAAATTTATATATTTAAAAAAGATATAAAAGAAAAAAAAATACTCACAAATTTTGAAAGAATCTAACATATGGATTGGAAAAAATGGCTTAAAATCTACTTAGATGTTGACCATCCTTCTTCTTCAATCTTATTATAAATTTTCTAGCTTGAATATCTCTCTCTTGATCCGTTAACTTGTTTTCAGAATTTTTTTGAATATAAATAACTTAGTCAATCATTAGCGTACAAAAAATAAAATAAAATAAAATAAAAATTCAAATCCAATTGGTATTTTTCTTGAAATCAAAAGCATCATCATTGACATTCAAAATCTAATTTTGAAGCGCCTAACTCACTTGAATCTCAATTATCTTTTATTTAATTATCTAATTGAGCTCAAATTCACAACTCAGATTTAACACAACTCCATTCACAAACTCACATAATTTCATCCATAGATTGGCAACAAAGCTTGTACAATTCACCAAAATAATAGCTTATTTTTTTATTCAACATAAAATAGATTCACTTAAAAACAACCTAAAATTTGAAAAGCTCTTAAAAAGTTAATATGCACTCAAATCCCTCAAATTTAATGCTTATAAAAATCCTATTAAGTTTGCTTTTAGAATCCATGCTCTGATCAATAAAAAAAGATATTTATTTTCCATAAGTATCAAGGACATGAATTACAAACAGTTAAAGAATTAATACATTCTTGTGCCACTAAAAAAGAATAGATATTTATTCAAAAATAATATAATACTAAAATTAAAATGGCTATGGCAAAAGACAAAAAGACTATAGATTCTTAAAACAAGACTAGGAATAAAAAAAGTATTGACAAGAGTAAGGTCTTTCTTACTCTTGCCTCTATATATACTATCAAATTAAGAACTACATGGTGATGTTCTATAAAACCTCCAACATGTGTTCAACTTGCAAGAGACATGTCTAATTTGCAAGATAAGTTTCTTATATGTGCCCCAAATAATCTACTTATATCACAAGTCACTAACATATGTAATATGTGGCCAACTTATTAGCTAAATTTTTAACCTATCAATCACCTACAAACACGTACAAAGTCAAATCCACATCTATAAAGTTTTTATGAAGCTTCTTCATAAGATGTTATTGAATCTACTTATATTTATTTCTCTCTAACTTATTTACTTTAAATAAATATGTATGTTTATGACATTACTTCCTATTTTAAAACACCATCAAGAGCAGTTCTTGCATCTAATAATATTACCAAATATTGAAAGTCTCTTCTACATTTGTGATATCAAAGGCATTGTATCTAACTATCTATTTGAAGAAGAAAATTTTGTTCTTAAAGATTTTCATTTCTATTATATTGTCTTAAAGACTTAGATATGTATAATCAATAAGCCACTAGATTGATTTATTTATAAATAAGAAATGATCCAAATCTATGATAATCCAATTTGTTATAAGGACAATTAGTCTTAATATTATAACAAATTAATTATATCTTGTGGTCAACATAAAATTGAAGTTGTTCTTTGCAATGGCATCTAAATTTAATTTTCATTGTTCTTGAGCTACTTTTTATTATACTTTTATTATTGCATGTAATTCTACTAAATAATTTGTGAAATCTTCTATTGTGAGATTATCAATTTTTGAATACTTAAAAGTATAAATTTATGGATGATAATCAAAATTAGCATAGAAAATGATTGTTATGTATAAAAAGATATTATGTCATTATAGTCAAATTTTTCCAACATCAAAAGAATTGTCCAATCATCTTAATAGTAATTAATGGTACATCTTAAATACTAATACTTCAAAACTAAGTTCATTTTTTTTAATTTATCTATTGGTTTAAAAATAAAAAAAATAAAGGTAGTTTTATGTCCACTTTTAATATCTTAAAAAAGATTATCCAAATCCTTGATACAAATTGAATCCTTCTATCTAATATAATATTCCTTGGAAATCCATGATAGCAATAAATATTATCAAAAAAAAGTTTAATTTTTTTTTCATCTACGATAGATTTATTATATGATAAAAAAATATAATTTATGAAATAAATTAATATTACAAATATAAAATAATAAAAACTTGAGATTGAAGGATTTATAATAAAATCTATAGAAACAAGAGACCATAGCTATCATAGTATAGATAGTAGCTAAAGAAGTCTATAAAAATGATAACAAAGAATTTTTGATCTTGAAAAAACATCATATGATTGTAAAAATTCTTTAACTTCCTTTCATATTTGAGACTATCAATTTTTTTTTGATATTAGCTCTAAAATCTTATTATATCCAAAATGTCTTGTAGTTGAAAAATTATGACAAACATAAAGAACATGTAATTATTCTTCACCTTCTAAAATATATAAGGATCTCTTAAAATATTATAGATTATTTTTAAATTAAAATTTAAAATTATTATAAGATTTAAATATATTATTCTTAATATCATAAATAAAAAGATACAAAGACATATTTAATTAAATTTTATTTAAAAAATTTGAGTTAAAAATCAATATTGATTTTATTGTTTAAAAATAAAATTATTTTTACTTCAAATGAATTATTTGTTTGAATAAATTATTTTTTTGAATAAAAATAAAATTATAAAAATCATTTTTTTGAATAAAAGCTATAAGATGAAGTTTATCATTTGATTATATTTCTAATAATATTATAGATAAGACAAAATTTGATAAATTTATTTACAAAAAAAATTTCCTTAAAAAATTTATACAATAAAAAATTAAAATTATTATAAAAGCTTTCTTTAAAACTTCAAATAATATTTTAGTTTCTTTACTCCGCTGAAGTTTGTCTTTATAAGTTGGATGTATAAGTATAGCTGCAACTTAAGAATTATTTTTGATAAAGATCCAATAATAATTGACAAATCTCAAAAAATATTAGATGTTTCTTAGAATTTTTGGAACCTTCCAATCTATGATAGTTTGAACTTTTTTAGAATCCATCATAAGGCCATCATTTAAAATAATGTATCCTAAAAATTCAACTTAAGTTGTGTGAAATATACACTTTTTCATTTTTGTATATAATCTTATATTTTAAAGTTTTTTTAATATACTAAAGATATAAATTTTACATTCTTTTGTATTCTTAGAAAAAATTAAAATTTTGTCTTGTTAATAAATAAAAAAATCATCTAAAATTTCTCAAAAATATCATTCGTTAGATGTTAAAAAATAATTTGTGCATTTATAAGCCCAAAAAGCATGAAATTATATTTAAAATGTAATATTCTATTTTTTTAATGCATATAGATCTTTAATTAATTTAATGAATAAAAAAATCTTAATATCAAAAGTAGAAGATATATATTTTTGATAGTAATCTTAAAGATTCTTTGATAATCCATACACATCCATAGTGATATTTTTTCACAAAAAATAGATATAATATAATAAGCAAAAAAAGTTTTTTTTTAACAACATGCATAAAAGTTCTTACACTTTTCAATAAAGATTTGGATGTATTAGACTTTTGGCTTTTTATTTGGATAATATAAGTCTAAATTATGCAATAGAAAATATTAAAATTACAAGAAATCTAAATTACTAAAGAATTATACCTCTCTAGCTACAGTAAATTAAAAATAATTAAGCTAAAAGAAGATCTAATAACACCAAATATTAGAAAGCTATTATGACTATTAATTTCTATATTTATAAGAATATTTTTA